AAGCTTTCAGGGGCTGAACAATCGCACACATCACAATTAAGGTGGCACGTGCTCAGAGGACGAAAAATCAATAGGCACAAACAGGAGGTTTTAGTCTCTATTTGAACTTGAGGAGAGAAGTGCATTTTCCCACCACCGCAGCTGGGCCCTGCACCATCCAGGAGCCTCTCTATTCATTGTAGGCAAAGGCCTTTATTACCTTCCCTAATCATTTTTTCATCTACGCTTTTGTCTTCATCAAAAAAGAAAGCCACACTGATTGCCACGGTGTTGTTTACTGAGCCCCGCTGCATGCCAGCGGGCCACCGGTTGCTGCCTTCATGGCTTAACAGAGAGAGAGAAAGAGGATTTCCAACGGAGACCTGCTCGGGTGCAAGGGAATGGGCCTCCCAGCTCAAACCGGCTCTGTTCCCGTGAGTCTCTAGGGCAATGCAGAGGCCTAGGTGGAATGCCTGATTCCAGCTGCTCTTCAGAGCCCCCGTGGCGAGAGAGATTATCAGCCAGGCCCCTTTGCGCTGAACATAGTAGCTCTGTTATAGGAAGGCAGGGTGGAGGTTGGCCTTCCCCCACCACCCTGTGCCAGCAAAGCAAGGTCAGCGGGGAGCTTGGGTTCACATCCACCTCCCCGAGGCTGGCAGAGAGCAAGCCATGTCCAGAAAGCAGGGGAGGCAGCCCATCTTTCCCCATTGTGAAGCAGGGTCTCTGCTAGGAGCCGCTCCTAGCAGGTAAATTGTAATGAATTATGCTCAGTCCCCGGTTATTCCTGTATCACCCGGTGATTAATGGGCTGACCCTTCATGCTAGACCGTGGAAGTGTAACATCCTATCTGGTGGACTGGTGTGAATTTCTCCCCTCCGGATCGGCGGCTGCTGCATACCTGCATGGAGGGAGAGCAGCATCTGCAACCTTGTGTGCTCCAGAACCCCCCACCCCACCCCCAGCAAAGGACCACAGCATTATTCGCCTGGAACGGGGTGGGGGGAGAAGCCCTGGGTGGTTCGAGTGGGCAGTGGTCATAGTGGCAGGAAGAGTGCTCTGTGATAAAGACCCATGCAGGGGAAAGATGGCAGAGTGAGCTGGGCATTTGGATCTCCAGGGGACTGTCAAAGGAGATGCCGTGGAGTCGTCAGGCCCAAAATGCGGGGCACCTGGGCTGTTCGAAAAGGGTTTTGGTGAAGTGGTTGGAGGCAGGGGGCTGGGAGTTGGGAGGTCAGAGTTCGAGGCCAGATGCCACCGCTGACTGGGGCAAGCCATTGAAACAGTGTTGAACCAAAGACAGAGTAGTGGAAGTAGGTCAAACTACCTCCCTCAGAAACCCCTGGGGATTGTTTATGTCAGCAGTGGATTGGTCTCCTGGCCTGGATCCTCCAAGGTATTTAAGCAGCTAACTCCCATTGACTTCAGTTGTGGTTAGGCACTGAAATACCTTTGAGAGCTGGGCCTCTATGCCTTTTAGAGTCCTTCAGTGAAGACCATTTTTGACAGTTTCCCATGGCATCCAGGACCTCAAGTGCTACAGCTAATGTGTGGGAACCAGAGGGGGGAACTAGCTGGAAACAGAAGGGGAAACCAGCGACAAAGCACGAGGGAATCTGACCAGGTTCACCGTCCAAGCTGAGCGAAACAATCAGCATAAAGGATGGCATTAAAATGCTGCTGTTTGCAATATCTCTTTGCTTTAATAGGCAACACGCATTAATCTTGCCTTGCAGCGGCCACCGTTAAAAAGCCTGCTAGATAAGTTACCGTGCAGCAGTGTCCGAGGATGAGCTGAATGTCTCTGTTCTTAGTCAAGGAAAATACCTGCAAGATTTCAGACGCTGCGGCATGATAGCTGCTGACTTCTTAACGGCGATCGTTGTATGTGAAGCAGGTTTTTCCTCAGCACTTACATATCTTTGAGGCTGATTTGGGGGTCATTCATTTTTCCTTTTTGATCGGCTCAATTTCTCTTTACCTCCTCAGAGCTGCACAGCTTAAAATAATCCACACCAAGGGGTGCTGATTATTTTCTAGCGGGGCTGCTGGAAAAGGAATTTAACTGTCTTAATTTATAGTAGCTTGCCTAGTGAGGCCTGGGTTGTGTGCTGAGTTAATGAGCACTGGAGAGTTCCCGTCTGAAGGGGCCTGTATTCAAGAGGGACGAGGGATTTTGGAGTCCACTTGAGACACCTTTAAAAGGGCCTGATTTCTGGAAATTGCTGAGACTCCACTCCAATGAAAATCAGGTATCTCACAGAGGGAATCCAAAATCACTAGTCGCTGCTGAAAGTGTAGACAGAAGCCTTCTGTTGATGAGCAACTTTTGGCTTAATCAGCTGTGCACTGAGATGCCACCACCAGAACAGTGTCTGGTCACCTGGGTACTTTTGCCTAAGAAGTGATGGTAGGATAGGGCCTGGCGTACTCAGGGTTCGGCGGCTGTTGCTGGTTAGAGTCGAGTGTGGGGATTTTCTGTCTCTTGCTGGAAGAAAGCGGCAGCAAACGTGCTTGGAGAAGGACAACGTTTGCCCCAATGTTGGGTGAACAATAGTCCCAGCACTGCTCCAGCCCAGACGGAGCACTCTGCAGGGGACAAAACGCGAATGCACGCTGTTACGGCGGAAAGCTGGGTCACAAAACGGACTCCTGTCGCCTTTTTGAGGTCTGCAAATTGGGGCACTCCTCCGGTTCTCTTGCTCCCGCAAAACTTACTCTCCATGAAAAAGGAGTGTGAGACTGGGCCCTAAAATGGAAACACTCTGGGCTGGACTATTCAGGCTTTCTTCTTAGCATCACCCCCCGTTGCAGCGCTGCGATCGTACCAGTGTTTGAACCACTGTGTCACCGAGGCATGTGCAGAGCAGTTCTAGACAAGATAGTGATAAAAGTACCTGCAACCACCAGTGTCCGGTCAATGCTAGCACTCCTCCTGGTGGAGCTGTGGTGACAGGAGGCTTGTGTGTCAGGCTGTACTTCATGTACATTGTTTTCTTCACCAGAGGGGCTGTCTTTTATTTTCCGCCAGTGGCTCCCCCGGACACTAGGGAGAGGCAGGATCTTACACACACTAATTGGGGCTCCGTATGCGGATCAGATTGCAGAATCGGGGCCAAATGCGTGGTGGGCCAGATTTTTCATTTTTCAAATGAGCTCAGCCCTCATTATCAGACAGTCTGAAATGCTGAGCTCTTTTGAATCTTGTAGGACTGGAGATGGAGATAGCTAGGCAGCCAATGCAGAGCTCCACTGTGCCTTCCTCATTACACCCTGTCACGTGATGATCCCTGTTGAATGTTACTCCTTGCATTCACTTCACTCGGGGAAGACTGTTCAATTCTACACAAACCCTTTAGTAAAGGGCATGGGAGCGGCCGTCTCACCCGCTTCTGAGGAAATGTGTGGCATGACAAAACACTGCCCTGGCCCTTTAAAATAATCTGTCCTCTGTGTCTAGAAGGGAGGGTCTTTTTGTTCAGGGTCTCAATGTTGTTCAGTGTTGATTCACCCTGCAGGCTAGGAAATGATGCTTTTTAAAGGGGCAGAATGGTGCACAGCACTAGGAAGGGTTAACCATCTTGTTTCTGCTCTGCTTCTTTGCTCTCTATTTATTTCCCCTCAGTCCCATGTTGATATGTCTTGATAGAGACAGAAACATCTTTAATACTATTACAGCTCCAAAGGCATTTCTGTTGTTTTTTTCTCGGTTTTTTTTTTAATAGCATGTATTTCTGGACAAGATAAAGAAAATGCATTGGATCGCTTAACTGCTGTGCTTAAAGAACAACTGGATAAAGCTTCCCCAGTTGAACATTAGAGAGAGATAAGGGCAAAGATTTTCATTAAGTTGAAGTGGCTCTGAAAATAGGTATGTGCCTGCAAAGGGATAGTTTGGAGACGCTAGGTGGATGGATTGATAGATGAAGGTTGGGGGGTGGATGGTTAAATAAATGGATGGAGGGATATATGCGTGTAGATGGTTACATTAGGCAGGTAGATTGGATGAATATATGTTCAGGGGATAAGATAAATGGGAGTGGAGACTAATGGGTGTGCATGATGGCTGGTGAGTGGCTAGATGATGTAGAATTAAATAGTTACATGAATCATTGATAAGTAGGCAAGAGAATAGATGGAGTGTGGCAGGGATAAATGGGGGGCTTTCTAAGTCAGTGCTGATAGATGGGTGGGTGGTTAACTTGTTGGATGGGGGAAGAGAGAAATAAGGGGGTGAGTGAAGAAGTGAAGAGTTGGAGGATTGACAGACAGATATGGATGAAAGCAGGGTGGTTAGATAGTAAGATAATTATAGAGGGATGCTGATAGAAAGGGTTTTCAGGCAACTGAGATCTCAACAGTTCATTTAACATGCTCTTCCGGTTGGTTGGTAGCTGTCACATTTTGGTTCTGACCCTGCATCTGTCTCAAAGAGGAGGCCTGGCCTTTGCATAGAAGCACCGCCCTCCGTATTTGTATACGGTGCCTCTTCACCTCTCTGGCTGCCGGGTCAGTTTATTTAGATCCCAGAGATACCAATCTCATCTGGCTCTGCGAGGTGTGGTCACCATTGGAACTCATGGCTGCCCCAGTGCCCAGGCCTGACAGGGTGCAAGCAGAATGGAAGAGGGATCAGGACAGAGGCTGAAGGTGGAGGGGAGAGGGAAGCTTAGAGTGCCAGTCACAAGAGCCTTAAGTACCGGTGCTGCTATGAATACCAGGTGAAATGAACCCGCGTGCAGACGGGACCAATACAATGGCTATGTATGGCTTAAGGAGCACGCCTAGGCCTTGTGCTGGTTCGATGCACAAAGCTCCCATTAATCTCAAGCATGTGCTGAAGTCCAATTGACTTCAACCTAAGCACGTGCTTAAGTGTTTTGCCAAATAGGGACGCTTTTCCAAATTAAGGCCAGGTTGAATTTCACCAGTGGCGGGGACCTCTCCATTACTAGAACCCCCCCGTGGAGTCCAATACAGTAGCGCTGTGTGGATGGAGTCCCAAATAACCCCTCCCCCCCGGTACAAATTTCTTCAAACTTTATTGATACACTGCACAATCACAACCATCTCTTATTCGTTCTGAATTAGAAAAGGTTACAACCACAATGTAACATGCACAAAATTCAGGTAGTATATTCACCCTTTTTAATACAATTATTGACGGAAAATCAAGACTTGACTTCATTGCTTTAAGAAATAATAATCAAATGAAAGTAACCCTAGAAGGCGGACAGGGAAAAATAAAGTTTGCTTTTTTTTGTAACAATGTGATGGTTGGTTGGTTGGTTTTTCTTTAAAGCGTTTGAATACAGAAAATTACTTATTTTTGTTTTTTGTTGTTTTTTTAGGATAATTGTGAGTAAAATGTGCACAACCATAGCCTTTGACACAGCTAGAAGAACTGCACCATTGATAAGTCATAGAATTTTTTAAACCTAGCAAAGAGAAGGACTCTAAACTGGACAGTTAACGGTTTCATACACCCAACATGGTCCTCACAACTGCACTTCACGTGTCACAAGAAACTTGAATGCTTAAAAAAAAAAAAAAAGTTCCCTGCTAGCCATTCTTTTTAGTTTCCTCTGCCAAAAAGAACTAACCATGTGGATCGGAGGGGACTAGGTTAGAGGTTTTCCCGTTCTTGATGCTAACCACCCATGGTTGCAGGAAGAATTCGGTCTTGAAGCCGTGGGTCTTGGAGAGCCTAAAGGATCCCTTTATAGTAGTGCAGAGATCTGGGCGTGTGGTTGCCATCTTCCAGAAAAGTCTGATCAACTCCATTTCACTTGGCCTTTGAGCCAGCATGTTCAATATCTGAAGGACAACGTACATTGATTAAATTTGGCCTTAGTACCAAAGTATTGACTATCTGAAGGGCAACATGCATTGGTTGAATATCACTTGGCCTCTGTTCCAAAGCGTTGACGACTGAAAGGTCAATGTATGTTGGTTGTCTATTTTTTGGCACAACTTTTACCTGTAATATTTTGTTTTGTTTTTCTTCTGTAAGGGAAGAATGGACTCTGTTTCCTTTTAAATAGGATTTTTTTCCATCTTAACGTTATTTGGAAACTCTTTGCTCTGATCTGCCACCCACCTCTTATAAAGGCGTCCTGTGGCTACTTAAACGTTCCTGTCTTGGGCGGGGGAGGAAGGAAATTGCACTTGAAGGTTTTCAAAACTAGGGCTGTGCAAAAACTAAACCCTCTTGCTGTCGGTGGGGAATGAAGAGGAGAGGAAAATCACATTGTTTGCCCCAAATTAATTTTTTTTTCAGCTTCACCTTGTGGCCTGCTGTTTATTTTTCTCTGGTTTCCAGAGATAAGAAACCTGGAGTCACATTCAGGAAAATCGTTGGTTTTTGTTGTTGTTGCTTTTCCCTTTGATGGGGGGAAAAAATATCACTCCTTGTCAAGCGTCACTTGGTATTTTTCATGCAGCTCCACTTGGGACCTCCCGGGGTGTAAACATCTTAGAAGTTTTCCAGGTGAATCATCTGCAGCAATTACGTACGTGTGTGTGTGTGTGTGTGTGTATGTGTGTTTCTCTATTGCATGGTTTATTAGATTTATTTTAAGTCAATGTAATACGCCCTGAAACAGGACCTTTCTACGACTTCCTGTGCTCTGACTTGCTACACACCTAGCTCGTAATGTCTTCCTCACATGAAACTTGTGCAAAGAGATGCGGCATCTGGGATACAGAGTTGAGAGCTTAGAGCTTGCTTGCTGCATTGGGAGTGTGGAAATTTTGCCAAAGCTTGAGTTAAATTTGCAGGGCACTTTAGATGCTGAAGTGAAAATGTTTTTTCTGCCCTTGCCCAAGAGAATGCTACCACAGCAACAGAACATGGAGACCCAACTCTTACATTTGTGGCATTTCTCCTGAACACCGGGGAAAAACAGACTTGCAAACAACCATGTATCAGGCACTTAACATTTACCACCAACACTTCAGTTCACATGACCTTGGAAGTCATGAAAGACATGGATGCCCCAATGGGCTTTGAAATGTTGTTTTGTTTCGGGTCTTTTATTCCTTCCACTAGATTCCACCTGTACCTCTCTCTTCTTAAAGGCAGCGTGCATGTGTGTGGCTTGTTGACTTATTGTCTCTCTGATGATGATGATAGCGGGCAGGAAGGGAAGAGGCATCTGTGTAGGAGTAGCTACACTAGTTGACCCCTCTGAGAGACCACTTCTCCAGCAGCTCTCCTCCCTCAGCCTCAACAGAGTTACGGCACGATTAAGCACTTAAAACTCTCTGTTTGATGCCCTGCTCTGACAGTTAAAGGCATCTGCTGCAATTTTTGGTATTCATACACCGACAACATTTTTCAGTACCAATTGATAGATTTTAAGGGTCTATTATGACCATCTAATCTATCCTCCTGCGTGACACAGGGCTTCGATTACACCCAGTGATCCCAGCTGCTAGCCCTACGACTTGTGGTTGAACTAGATATAAATGTGAACGTCGGTTGTTTTAGTTCTTTACCAGCATTCCACCTAATACCCCAATGGAGCCAGCATGTATATGTGGGGTTTAAAATAATAATATACCTTTTGTATGTTTTTAACAATGAACGAGGTTCCACGTGGACCTGTTGCAGGAGGCTTCTTGCACAGATTAAATCAACGTTCAACAGCTTCATGATGTTTTTTTATCCAGATGAAAGAGTGGGAGGGCACTGTTAGATTTTTTTTTTCAGAGCCGTAAAACAGAAGGGGTGATGGCAAAATCCAGACGCGTTGCTCTTCAAACTCAAACCTTCCCTCATGGAAGGAAAAATGAATGGGAAAGCAAGCGTATACATTCAAGAACTCACACGCATTAACTCAAAAGAATATCCCCCTCCATTTTGGGAATATACCGCACAACTGTTTTGTCTTGTATACGTTTTTTTCAGACTTTTTAAAAATCATTCATGTTTTACATTTATTGACAGATCTGATGAGGCACATCCTTGACCTTCTGACTAAAGCACCTAGATCCTACCGGAAACCAGCACAGGTAACTCCCTCTCCACAAGTTCATCTTTGCGTCCTCGGCACGTGGCTGTTGGCAGCTCAGTATGGTAGGTCGTATACTTCCTTACTGCTGTTTTTGCTTACTGCATTCAGACCACCACGCCTGGCACCATTGGGAGTGCCTGCAGGCAGTCAGATGGCCACAGTCGTAAAAGAAAAAAAAACAAAACAATCAGCAACAACAAAAATAACCAAACGAATCAAGGTGTCCTTTTACTTCCTACCTGGGAAATAGTGTCTGTGTCTCATGGGATCAGAAAAAGCAAAGAGGTTTCTACTTGGCAGGTCTTTGTAAGAGCCACTTGATTCGCTGTAGTGATCCAGGTCATGCTGTGCAGCCCAATCCGGTCTGGGGCGTTGATTGAAATGACTGTCATGCAGGCCGCAATTTGGTCTGGGAATGCTGCAGTCCTCTAGCCCTGTTAGGCCTCAGCAGTGACCCAGAAAGCTAGTAGTATTTTTAATTAAAAAAAAAAAAAAGTACATTCAAAGACATTTAAGCAATGCAGATTCCTCCCTTACTGCCATTAGGCTTCCAAGAAGGTGCCATGTCTCATTCGAATAAGGCCTAAACCGAACCAAGGAACTTGGGGAAGAATCAATCGGAACTTTCAAAGTAAACATCCACAGTCTAAAAAATAAACGATCTGAGGCTGCTGCTCCATTTTGGAAACAGCTGCCTGAAATTCCCTCTTTAAAACGCTCCTACAGAAGCAGCTGAGAAACAGGACTGTAGGTTTGTGGGAGGGTGGTGGTTATTTTTTCTCTTCCCTTCCTCTTTCCCATCTGTTTTCAGTGCTGAGTTAATCAAGTGCTTGGAAATTAAGTCAGTTATTCAAGTACCCTCTGCTCATAAGAGGTTCCCAAACAAATACAAGAGTGATGTCAACACACTAGCAAAATAATTGGCCTCCGTCAGCTTCTGACTGGATGGATTCCTAACAGAGCAAATGAGGATCGGGGCTGGGAAAGGGAGTGAGCATAGCAGTGCCGGTCAGGTGATAGCCAGATTGCGTCTGGCTCTCCCAGGATGGATAGTGAACATCTTGTTTGGAATTGCCATAACTAATGGATAATTAGGACTTTTCTTAAAGAAAACTGGATGCATCCCCACTGGAAAACAGCAGTACAAGCACCTGTTAGCAGATATAAAACATTGGTTTTTAAACGCAAAAGATCATGAACAGCATTGGGGTGGAGTGAGGGGTGTTGCTTACTTTAAAAAAGAGAGTATATATTTTGGGGAGGTAGGAGAAAACAGATCTCTGACTAGTTTTTTCTTTTGGAGGGGGGAGCTAAGTGAAGGATTGCTACTGCATTATCGTGCTTTGAATTGTCAGAGACGTGTCCAAATGGCCAAATATTGCTCAGCTTTATGGCCAGTAGTTCTGTTCTACCGCACATATAAATGTAATATTGTGAAATTTCTCAATATCCTCCGCTGTAACAGGTAGATGAACAGACAAAATAGAAAGAAAACTAAATGGATGGAGGGAGCAGGATAGAAAGTTGGCTAGATAAATAGGTGACTCAATAGAGATGATTACGCTGATGGATGGATGAAGAGCAGAGAAGGAGAGATTTGGATAGAAGCACAGATAATTACATTGATAAATTGATAAATACAGTAAAGAGATGGTGAGCTAGAAAGCCAGATGGATAGCTAATTAGATGGATGGGTGAATAGGATAGATGGATGGATAGAATGGCTCCGTGATTACTTTGATGGATGAGGAGATGGATGACTCACCATTTTGTCTATTTATCTGTTTGTATTAGCCACTCAGCCATCAGTTTTAGCAAGAGGGGAGAACAGTGTCCCCTAGCTTTTCCCTTTCTGCACTCCAAGGGATCTCAAATCCTTTGTCAGTGTTCAAATGCACTATCACTATGGCCCATTCACAGCCGCCACTTACTGCAGTTGTTGCCAAGAGCCCAGGTGCTGGCGGGGGAGCAGGGGGTGGATTTATTAAAACATCCCTCCAGATGGATGCCAGGTGAAGCCCAAGTGTAATAGGACACTTATCAACATGAACAGGTATGTACAGTGTAACATGTAGAAAGAACAATCCTTTTGCTAAAGAGAGACAGAGATAATAGGACACTTTGACTCATTTTGACTTCCGCTGTGTGTCGTCCCTCAAACCAAGACACGTCTCCGGGGGCAATTTGAACAGGTTCGGCCGGGACACGCTTAACGTTAGGATAAGTTTATAAATAGGGTTGAGGGCGGGGCCGGGGTAGAAGAAACTGATTCGCTTTGGGAAACGCCCATGACTTATCCCCCAACAGGCGGTCGGAACCCTTTCCCCCCTTCCCCTCTCCCATCCCCCCCGGCAGTACGTTCAAGTGGTAAAACTGGTTGTTGCCCCCGCAGTATAGAGAGTAAAGTCTGTGGTGTGGGAGAAGCCAGGTGTTGCCTCCGAGGACCCTTTGCTTTCTTATCAAAACTTGATGAGGAAGTGAGCGAGGAGGGTGCCCGATAGCCAGAGGCAGGCCAGCGCTCTGGAAGCTGCATTACTGCTATCATGCACGGCTCCAGGGCCTGGACAAGGGAGAGACAGAGAGAAAGGTTTGTTATTACCAGCTGGAGGGAGAAGGAAATCAACCGGTCCATTGACTTCTAGGTGAGGTGGGTCCCAGAGGGAAGCCCCGAACTTTGGGGAAGTCTAGATCTGAGGTCCATGGCTCAGGCATATCTCAGCTAAAAACCCAGCAGGTCTTTTCCTCCCTGCCTTTGTCCAAAGCCAGAGTTTTCTTTCTCTCACTCATTGCTTGCAGCCTTGCTAAGCCAGGGTTTGCTGGGGCTGGGGGGATCCTCAACCATTACTTTCAGTTCACAAACCACTCCCGAGGGGAAAAGAATCGCTCCTAGACAGCCAGCTCCTCCATCCTTGTTCTGCTCAGGTTCCCAAAGGCCTCACTGCGCTGCCCGCCTGAAGGGATGCTGCTGTGACCCATCAGGTCCATGCGGCATAATTTGAGAATCTGTTTGTATTAGGCAGAGTGAGTGACCTCCGTCCGTGAGCTAGCTCCCCTGCTGCATCATGTGGCTGCCTAGACGGCTCCCCTGTCCTCTGTGTGACTCTTTGGAGCTCTTTTCTACTCCACCCTATTCTGCAGAGGTTCTTACACTGAGCTTTTCACCGGAGTGACTTCGGCGTGACCCCAATTAGGAAAAATCCAAGGTGGAAACAAAATCTGTGCATCCCAGTTGAACTCCACTCCCATTCCACTAATGCCATATAGCTCTTGCGTCCTAACTAACAGGCACTTGGATTTTCGAAGGCACCTAAGGGAGTTGGGCACCCAAATCCCAAGGAAATTCTTTCCCATTGGGCTCCTTCTGGAAATCCCAGACAGAATCTTTACTCTGGACTAAACTGGACTAAATTGTCAGGGAGCTTCAAACGAAATGGCCATTCGTAATGAGATCAGATAACTATATTGCCAAAAATCGGACCAGTCAGTTCTAGGAGTCAGTGGTCCCATTCCACACTTAGCGTCTGTGCTGTGCTCACATGAGGCTCAGGCAGTACAGTTGTGATGGGGAAGAAACGTGGACTGGGACCTTGAGCTCATTTCACATAAGCCTCCTAGCCATTTCTCAGGTTGCTACCAACGGGGACTGGATTTGAGCGGATAAGCAAGAAGCATTATACATTACACTCGCCACAGACATGTAGCTACTGGCAGGGTGGAAGGTGATGCCTGTTTCCAGTCTGTTATCACTGTACAGCCAGGGCAAGGATGAAATGTCATGGGGAAGTCATGATGACACAGGCTCCAGCTGTTGGGGGCTGGGGTCAGGAACAGTGAGATCAAGGGCTGGAATGTCCCCTGTGTGGATGATTCCCGAGTAGGAGCCAGAGCTGCAGAGTTTGGACCCGCGCTGTTCTTACTGCAGGGGAAAGGTGTCAGCTGCTCGTAGCGCTCCCAATAACTGCCCCCCATTGTCAGACCCGAGTCCTCGGGACTCCCTCCCAACCCCTGCTCCCAGGGTATCCCAACACCCCTCCTGCGCAGTCTCATCACAGTGAGGAGAACTTGGTTCGCTGCCGCTGGAATCCGTATTGACCTGGGCCAGGAATCCCTATGGGGCGCAAGGGCAGGTTGCTTCTAAAGAGCTGCCATCCCCTGCTTTGCCCCGTCCCCCTCTGCAGAGCCGTGGAGGACTCCTGGGGGGCTTCCTTGGGGTCAGAGAGCCAGCGACTCCTCCTTTCATGCTCCCCTCCCCTGCCAGGAGGGAGCATTTGGCCCAAAGGATCTCAAAGGGCCAGGGAGGAAGAGGAGTTCCTTTCAGGGAGCCTTGTGGAGGTGTCGATAGGTGGCACTGCCTGACCCTAGAGATAAAAAATAGCCACCTCCCTGTCTGCAGCTTGCATGCCCTGTGCAGACCACTGGGGGCCAAGCTGCAGATACTGTCATATGCAGCATGGTCCACTGGTGTCCTCCTATATCCTGCATCTGTCGGTGATCATGTGGTAAAGACACTACTAGCCTTAGGACCAGGGGAACCAGACTGTAACTGACATGGCTTTCACTGGCGTCATTCCGTTTAGGTCCTGTAAGTAAGATTGAGTTGAATCGTCTTTGATGAGTCCCAGCTTGATACCTCCCACAAAACCACCACACTGGGTCCCCGGATTGGCATAGCAGGGGGCGGGCTGTGGGTCAGGATGAAGGTGCCTCCGCAGAGCTGCATGGGAAAGTAGGGACAAGGGTTAAAGTCAGGGCTGGAGTGTGTTAGCAGAGAGAGGTGGGAAAGCGGGGGTGGCGGCAGATCAGAACTGAGCTACATTGTCAGAGCTGTGTAAAGAGAGCTTACGCCGAGAGCCCGCAGCTCAAGCTATTGCCATCCGTCTGTGGGTTTGAGACGCACCACAATCAAGCTGCCTCCAACGTTGGCATTTATAAAAAAAACAAACCCTGCAGCCTGCTCCACGGTGCTTTGCAAGCTAGCGTAAATGCTCTGCATCCCCATAAGTGCTTTCTCTGGAGCACCGTATTGCTGCAAAAAGAATATGGCCCCACTTTACCCCAGCAAAACTCCCTAGGCCGCACTGCCTCTAATAGTATCATTTGCTCACAGTTCCAGAATCTCTCTCTCTGTATTTTGCACGGCTTTCCAAAAGCTCTGGATATAGCATCGAATCTGAGCAGAAAGCAACACTCTCTCCAAACAGACCGTCCCCCTGACTACACCCCCAGTGGAATTGCTAGAGACTAAAGATGCCAGGAAAGCACCGTGCTGTTTGATTAATTAATCACAATTTTACAGTAACCCTGATTGACTGGAGCCACGGAAAAGAAAGCAGCTGCACTTAACTCCTCCCATCTGGAGCTCTTTATGCTGTAACTGCTCTTAAATGCTCTACACTCTTGTAGCTCTGTTCTCTAGTGGGTTCTATTTCCCCGCCATACATGAACAGACAGATCTCAGTTGTTGTTTAACTAGCCTAATGGCACTAGCCGAATTAAAAATTGATAGCGACCAAGGCACACGGGCAAACTGCAAACCGACAACTACCGCAAGCTCCCCCTGATCATTTTAATGTCATTCCTCTTCATACCGGGGGATATTGTCAGTAACCATATGTTGATTTGACTTTCTCCCTTCGAACGCGGAGAAACCCCATTTCAAACAGGCAGGGGCTCCTAGCCCAGCACTTAGGCCATTCACTTGAGTTGTAAGAGATCAGAGTTCAAATCCCTTCTCAGCAAGCAGACGGGATTCAAACTAGCACATCCCACGGGGAGTACCCAAACCACGAGCCTTCAGAGGGCTCTTGTTTCTTTGTCCCTTTTGGGCCGATTAATACGTAACTGAAGTGGACCAGCTTCAACAGGCAAGAGTGAGGGAGCCCCCCATCGTGGTAACCCCAAGGTTAGGGCGTTAACCTGGGTTGCAGGAGATACCTGTTCAAGCCCGCTTTTAACGGGCAGAGGGGGAATTTGTACCCGCATCTCCCTCAGCCCATGTGAGTATCCTAACCCCTGGAGTAGACAGGGAGTGTAGGAGACCTTTCTTTAAAGGCCTTCTCCTCATCAGACAGAGGGTGAAACTGGGACAGGATCCCTCACACCACAGGTGATGACTCTAACCACTGGGCTAAAGGTTACACCGGAGGCCTCCAACTCTTTCCCTCTCTGCCCTCGGGTGTTTTGCGGGGTGTAAGGCCGGTACCTCACAATCTCACAAGAAATGGTTGGGGCACTGAAGTCACCTGACTCCAGGAGAGGGGGTTCCTGGCAGTGGATCTCAGGCAGAGATAGGTGCTGAACTCCCCAAATGAGGCAGGGCTAAGCCAGAGCCTCTCTCGTCGCTGTCTCCCAGTGGCTAGCTCAGGCAGCTCCCTGCTGGCTTTTATGGATTCCGTTCTTAGGTACCTGTCTCTCCCCTTTCATTGAAGAGGGAGCCTAAGTGCCCAACTCAGGCTTTGGGAATCTCCTTGTTCCAATTATTTTTCTAGGCATCTAAAAAGCAGGGATGGCACTGCTGGTGTTGTCACTTCTAAGTCGCTCTGTGGATCTGGGTGTGTGAGGGGCTTTCTGGAGCTCCTCTTCCCCTGCACTCCTGCTGCTTGGGATAGGGAGCTCTAAATTCCTTCTCTGTCCGCTTCTCTGGAGGTCAGCTGCAGTCTTCAGTCATCTCTTTTTTCCCCTGCCTCTGAAAGCTGAAGTAGCATCACACATCCACTGACAGCGTGAATGTTTGGCAGCATAAGACACGGGCCCATTCCCGGCTACTCTGGGCATGGGAATGCCTCTCTTCTTTGGGCCAACACCGGTTCTGAAATCGAATTCATCTGCCCCAAGAATAGAGCAAGAACTTGGGCACATCAATGCAACATCTGATTCCAAGCTCCACAGAAGCGCCCTGTTCACACCGAGTGTTTGCTTTGCATCAGCAACGTGTAAGAACATGCGTGAATCTACATGTTCCTTGTCCTTGTGATCTGCCTCATGTTCCGGCAGAGGGGAAATGGGACATACTTCAAACCTTGGATAGCAACATCTCTGGACTGGGCAATAATGGACAGCTTGCTGAAGATCTGACAATCAGCAGTTATTGTTTATGCTGTCTGCTTCTTCTTTTTTCCGATTGTTTTGTTGAGATTACAAAATGATTTGAGATTGTGCCTTTTTATGGGATCAAAGACCTCTGCCTCACCCCTTTGCAACCTCCTGGATATGAACTGCTTCATTTCTTGTGCCATTCTCTCTGATCATGCACTAACTTTCTGCAATTTCAGGTGGGGCAACGGTGTTCACAAGTGGCTTTCTGTTGTCTGGGCTTGTTCCAGGTTCAGTGCTAAAAGGATTTGTCATTCTTGGACAGACATTTCATCTGCAGCCATGCGCTTTGTGATAGCTGCTTTGTGGAGATCTGTTGCTGAAGGCTGCACTCCACACATTTGTTGGTCACTTACAGCTGCTTTAAAACCTGCAGCCAGTTAATACTTGGTCAGAGCCTTATCTTCTGTGGAAAGATGCTGATGCTTCCCACAATTCTTGTTGAGTGATTGATCAACCGACATGCCA